CTTTGTCTCTATCCTGGTAATTTGGATGCACTTCCTCATTATGACAGTTCAGGACATAATTGTAATGTATTCTTGCCTTCATGCCTACTGGCTGGGGAATGCTCCTGGTAAGTACAGTTTCTATTTCTTTTCATCTTGGTTCTTTCTTTGTGTACTCTCTACTGGCTTGAGCTTCTGCTTTACTGCAATAACACTTTTTGGGGTTTAAAGAAGGATGAATAAAGGAATATATTAAAGGGGGAAAAAAGCAACTAACAGGAATATTGAGCGCAGAGTCGAAAAAATAACATCTTTTGGGACTAAAGAGAACTAATGTTCAGAAAGATAGAGAAAGGTACATAAAAGGGTTTAAAACTCTCTGGATTTTGGCCAAGAAACAGAGAAGAATAATTCAACTCAATGTTTTTCTAATAATGGAGAGAATTTGGGCAGCAAAAAGAAATTCATAATAACATCTTTTTTTCTTTCATTCTAGATGCTTAGAATTGGTGGAAAGAGTGGTGGTAAGCAACACTATGCTGTTTAGTTAAATAGACATTCTCCGCTACTATGCTAAAAGAATAAACTAATAATAGAAATAATTAAATAGAGCCTGCATATATAGGACCATGAAAAGATTCTGCAAATATCTACTATTCTCTAATAGCCTGTATAAGAAATATATATATATTCTCTAACAATAACAATCAATGGTGCTCACTTCACTGAGATTTGCTTTCTGCTTTTGTTTGTATTTCTTGTTAATATAGGACCATGAAAAGATTCTGCAAATATCTACTATTCTCTAATAGCCTGTATAAGAAATATATATATATTCTCTAACAATAACAATCAATGGTGCTCACTTCACTGAGATTTGCTTTCTGCTTTTGTTTGTATTTCTTGTTAATATGGTGCTAATTTCATTTTCACAGATTGCTCAAGCTTGCAAGCCCTTAGTTCAACGAGCTGGGTTTTGGGGATCAGTCCGGACACTTGCTCGTGGCTACGAGATTGTTATGGGCCTTCTCTTGTTCACCCCAGTGGCATTCCTTGCCTGGTTTCCTTTTGTCTCGGAATTCCAGACTCGTATGCTGTTCAACCAAGCTTTCAGTAGAGGTCTTCAGATTTCTCGCATTCTTGGTGGGCAACGAAAGGATCGTTCTTCCCGCAACAAGGAATGAAAAACTTAATGATACCCATTGTTGTCTTCCATTTTGAGCTTCAATTGCCCTTATACAGTTGTGTAGAAATCATGTTCAAATCTATTTGTAAGCCCATTGTTGTCGCTACATGCGAGATAGGGGGCTGCAGACTGCAGTTTTGATTATTGGCATTAGTGGAAGTCTAGCTGCCCTAATCATCTTACTGAAATACGTAGAGAAGAAAATGTATATGATTCAGTTTCACTACCATTCTTATAACTAGAGTGTATGGAAGATAGAATCTTAGTCACTACAGAAGTAGAGTCATGCATGCCCATGTACTTGCATTTTGTTGATGACATGAATTGTGTTGTGGTGAAGATCTGGTCAAATCCATTTAGGAAATTCCTTAGAAAAATAGGAAATTTCACTTTTCTTGTTCCTTTCAACTGAACTGAAACTAGAGAAATATTTGTAAGGTGTTTAGTGTCGGAAAATGAGTGTTTTCTTTTCCTTTTTTTCCCGGTATTGTGTGTGAGAAAGATGGAAAATGTGATGAGGCGATGATCGAAGGCTGGAGTTAATTGTAATTTTATATATATATGATTTTTGTATCATGGACTTTACCACTTATTAAAGCAATTCATAGAAAATGAAGGGGATGAAAAATAAAATCTCTCTCGTCAAGGGTATTTTCTGAGAGAATGTGTGTGTGTGTGTGTGTGTGATTGTGTGTTTAGTAGTTCAAGAGTATAAGAATGCTTCGGGTTAGAGATCTTATAGAGGAAAACAGAGGATCTAAAAAAAAGTCATTTGGTTACGATATTATTGGACAAGTAGTTTTATTATTTGTTTTTAAATGGTTACGAAAGACAGTTATTTATCACGAACGTAGTTAATAAGTATCTATTCTTAATATTAAGAACCTGTTAAAGTGGAGGATTGTTCTGTTCTCTTCATTCACACTAAAAAAATGCGCATCATTCTTTTTTCTGATAAACAAAATATGATATTGTGATTTCACTAAATCGATTCTTAAAAACTTTCAAATCAAATTATTTGTACTCACTTCTATAAAAAAAACTACGAACATCTATGATAGAAGAACTTTTATTGTCTTAATCCTAATTCAAAACTAAACAAGTTCGAACCAATTGAATATTTGTGTCAAAAATTTACCGGATCAATTTGCCATTTTCATAAAAGATATATTATACCTACTCTTTATTAATAAATTACTTTCTAAATTTTAAATACTAAAATTTCTCTACAATAAGAAACAATTACAACTTTTTTTTATGTATGTAAAAGAACTTCACAAAAAAGTGGTAAAAACTTATTTCGAAAAATAAAAAATGTAAAAATATTAAAACATAATAAAAATATGATACTAAATAAATTTTTAAAAAAATTCGTAAAAGTTTTATTTATTTATTTTATGTTGAGAGTATAAAATTTTTTATTTTATTATATAAATAAAAAAATTACTAAATAATAACTGTAATTATAGTTTTTTCGTTAAAATTTTGAACATTTTAATCATGAACATATTAGGTTGACATTTGTATTTCCATTAACAGTTTTAAATTTTCTTTGATTTAACGATAACATAAAGCTGATCGAATGTTAAAGAAAATATATTTTTTACTGATATCATATTCAAAATTTTTCGAACATTATAACAACAATGATAATAATTAGAGAAATTGTGGATTTAAAAGATTAAATGCAAAAATATTTAATTTATTCTAAATTTATGTTGTTATCATTATTATTACTTTATTAATTATTGGGATTCATCACAAAAAAAAAAAAAGATGGAGACAAGAGAAAAGAAAAAGGAAAGGAATAAAAAAGAAAGAAAAAAGGGGTAAAAGGGGGAAATGGTGGG